AAGCACGCACGCGCGCGCGATTCTATTCACGGATAAATTTGCAAGACAGCGTTTCCTGGGATTATCTCCGTAGACGGTAGCATCAATTGTTTCTCAAGAGTGGGTAGCCTGTGCGACACGCGATTGTCGCGGAAGTCGCTGAAATTTCGCGCATGAATGATCGAGGAAAACGTAATAACAAAATTTAAGATCAGCAAACGGACATTTCGGTATGAAAACATTTCAGTTTTATAAAATCTTCTAAATAATTATGTGTAATCGTGAAGAATCAATAATTAAAATAAAATTATTTTAAGAGACTATGTTTAAATATTATGGAATTCTCTTTTTTTTCTACAGTTTTATAAATTCTCTATCGATAATACTCCACAGTTATTCTTTTTAATTTTTGTCAATTTATTTATCAAGACTAAAATATTTTTAAGTTACGCCACTATTTAAATAATTGTTTCAAAGTCTATACTGATTTTTCCTTCCTTCTATTATTTTGTCGGTTTAGATGTGTTCAGATAAAAGCATTGTAAGCATTGTAATAAAGGCAATAATAATAAAATACATATTGAGAAAGTAACACCATTTCCACGTAGAAGCGGAATCGCGGAATAAATTGCGAATTATCACGTAATAATCACTCGATTCTCGTGAATAATGCGGTCGTTCACATTGTCATTACTCGCATACTCGGTATGCATATCTGACAAGTATTTTCTCGCGTATTTGTCTAGTGTCATCCAGTAAAACCACATTTCTGATTTTTTTTATTTTAATGCTAATACATTTATTCGATGATGCCATTTATTCTTCATAAATGTCTGGTTAACACATTTAAATAGACATTCCAACATTGCGGTATATGACATCATCAGAACTATATGCTAATCGCGATATAAATATTTAGATATTATTTTACTCTTTTATTTTCTTCAGATGTTTAAAATAATTATTTGCGTAACTACTATTATTTGCTAGTCACTGCTCTTTAGTGAATGCTTTTAGTTACAGTTTAAGTTTTATTACATTAATTAAAGAGGATAATTTGTAACTCGTTATTCTTTGACGACCGTCCATATCTACGGTATACCAGCCGATAAAAAACGATCGGTGGGCAGGGCCTTAAAGAGCCCGAGAGGATAGGCGCGCGCGCTTACGTCACTCGACGACAACGTGGATTAAGCCGTAAAGGCGCGTTCGTACGGCGCCGAAGATGCAGACGGTCGGACGGACGAGATCCCTAGGTCGCGTGTGCGTCGCTGCCGACGCTGCCGACGCTGCTACGGTGCGAAGTAAACGATTTCTCGGAGAGGTCATTGAGCTTGATAGGGCGCGGGCGGCCGCCATCTTCCAGAACGTTAAAACCACTTCGACGCGCTCCCATAAACGAGTGAGCGGCGCGGCGCGACGCGACGTGGTAATCCGCGCTGTTCTACCAATCAAAATTATTGAGCAACCGCTGGCGTACCAACTACTTCTATGTGTGCGAAGAATGAAGAAATCAAATATGCCTGAACGATTCGGCAGTATCATAACATCAATAAGGAAAAGAATGCAAAATAGTGGATCGAAAAGAAGTCTTGTGTATTGCGATGATATGAATTTTTGCGTATTTTACAGGATATTTATTCTCAATTTCAATGACATAATTTCTCCGTTGAATTTGGAATTATTTTTTCTTTAGGAAAAATATTTCTTTAACAAGATACTTCATCTAGATTTCTATCTTTCGATATGCAATATTATATATTTTTATCACAAAGCTTCTAATTGGAATTCGATCGTGCTCATCTCAATCGCTAGAAAACAAAATGCGTATTATGAAAATACATGAAACGATCATCACACTATTCACGATCAGTTACCGTGTATACGAAACATTAATGCTGTCATAGAATTGTTATTTGCAAAGAAAATATTTATATGTTTCTCAATTATTATGGAAGAAAATGCGCGCGGACAATATTCAGCTGGCACGACTTTATCGTTTGCAGTTGTGTCGTATCATTTTTTCTTAAATGCACAACTTATTGTAATAAATTGTTTTTAAATACTCACATTATTTCCGCAATCGAAACAAGTGACATTTGTCACAATGTCCATCGATAATTTGTATTATAAGAATTATTAATAAAGAAAAGGAGCAAAAACGTAATGAGAATTCACACTGTCTGTCACGGAGGATGGACGGATCTTTCTCCTCGATATGATACGCAATTAAAAAGTGGCGTTTATACGCGCAAGAATATCGTTCGTTTTGTGTCGAATTAATACCGATACCGATTAAAACGGTCTAAAACTAAGAAAAAAAGCGTTTGGGCCGATACGATAATAATAATAAACGTTAAAGAATGAGATAAAAGAGCACAAAAGGTCGCGGACACAGATATAACCAAGCTTGGTCCATTCATTCTGCTCTGAAACGCAGGGTGAACGTTATCTTTTAGCGAGAACAATGTACTTCCCCGTATACGTGGATATACGCTCTGCATAAACAATATCAAATTCAGATTTTCTCGTTTTGACAAACGATAAAATAACATCAAAATACTTGTTCGATCGACTTCTCGCAAACTCTAACTAATAGTGAAATAATAGTGAAGTTAAATTATTTAAACTTATAACAATTTCAGTAAATTTTCGTAAATTCCAAGTATTTTGTGTGTGATTTCAAAATATGAAATATAATTTTCATTGCATAGAAGTATAACTTTACAAACTCGATTTCATCGTTTCACTTTTTGTTCTTTATTTTTTTAAAGAAAATGCTTTTTTTAATTCTTCCCCTTAATAAACGCCCATAAAATGATGCTTATAGTATCTGATGGGAAGTAAGTCTGCGTCTAATGCATTTTTTAGCGCATTTAAACGGTTGCTGCACAGAAACTGTCTAAACTTAGCTGCTTAGCGTATGGAGCACAGAACAACGGTGCTTTCCTATGCACACGCAACTTTTGTTTGGCGATTAGCCGTAGAGACGAAAATAAGAGCCGGCGCGTTTTCGAGCGCCAATATTAGGAATGGTTAAATATTTTCGTACAGGGCACGACTTCTCGTTGTGCTACCTGACTCGATGTATAATCGACGGTCACACATCGCCACATCAGACGCGCGTTCTCTACTGACGTTTGCTGCGCGAGAAACATGCCGAGTTGATTTTAGGCTTTCCGTGAGTTTCGAATTACATACTTTGCCATTCTTATGAGACCGATCTCGAACCTTCTAACAAATTACGTGCAACTTTCTATACTTTTATTATTCACTGAAATAAAGCTTGAACTCTTACTTGAGTGATCATTTCAAACGTGAACGAGCAACGCTTTTTTTTTTCAAAAAAAGTCACATTATTTGCGACAATATTGCGCTATATTAAAGTATTATATTATAATAAATTACTCTGTCTAAATTGCAAACAAAATAATTTTATTCTTGAATAAAAAATAAAATTTTTCTTGCGCGATAAAAAGTACCAACTAAAAAATACCAAAAACTTTTCATATGTATGCGTTTTACTTTGAGGAATACTGGGCTTTTTTCTGAAATGTTTGGTCGCAATTTTATTACAGTTGCATTCTACGGTTTCGCCGACAGAAGCGACGATAGAACTCCAAAGAAAAGAAAAGATATCCTTTTCGTAAAAAAAATCTCTGCAAGAGAGAATTTTCTTACGGAATAAAAGGTAACGACAATAAAAGGTAACTACAATCGCGAATTTTCTAATTGGGACGCAGCCTCTCGTAACCAAGCTTCTTTTGGTTAGGATCTCGAACCATTTGGAAAATTGCTTAACATTATTCTGCAGCTCTGTTGTCATTAGAGACGGAAACAGGGGAGCTTCATGCTTTTCTAAAAGAAGGAAATCTGTATATCAAGAGAATTCTTTTCAGAAATAAAATGCTTCTTTTTGATCATGCATTCTTCTTAAAGCTTGAAAGATCTAGAAGAGTTTACTTTTATTTCATTGCAAATATTTAAAAAAAAATATATTATAATAAGAAAATTAACGTATTATTCGTATTATCACCAAAAGTTTATAAGTAAACATAGAATTAAAGATTAACTGGTATTGATTTAGAGAAAAATAAAAACGTGTCGACATCCAGGGATTTCGGTTAATTCTATTAAAATATAATTGAAGATTGCAAATCTAATGTAATCTTGTTAAGATCTTAATGAATGCAATAGTGCATCCAATTTTTTCCCTTTTGTCTGTACATATAGTTCCCTAAATTGTTCAAGTTATTCGCATTTTGTGTATATATTAACGTGACGTATCAGTATCACAACGTCGGTCGACGGTGATCATCATAGCGTGTTTAATGTGTAAAAAATTTATTTTTTTTCCAACATCAGTGATATGCGACTAATCGCATTTACGAGTGACGACTTGGGCAACGACCAAGGTTCGGATAAACTGATGACGTATCGCAAGAATGGTAAGACTCATTAATGAATAAACCGGCCAAGGTGGATCTTGTGTCTTCTATGTATATGCATATATATGATATGTATATGTACATGTATATGTATATGTATATGCATAGTTGTATAGTTGATGTATGCGTACAAGGCGAAACGAATGAAGCCAATAAATTGGACAATATTATGCAAATATGGATTAATCCAGAAAATTAAAAGAAACTGTATTATACAGTTGTTGGCATTAAATTTTGTACTTTAACTTTCATTTGAGATGTTTAGTACATTACAATAGTGGTTCCCAAATAACTAGGGATGTAACGAATATTCGGCATTATTAGGTATTCGGCTTATTCGGTTGCTTTTTTTGAATATTCGGTTTGGCCGAATACCAGCAACTATTTGGCCGAATAGTGATTTTTTAAATTAATTGTTCAAGTTCTTAAGGAATAGAATGAAATAAAATGTAAATATGAATAATTTTAACAGCATTTATTATTAATAAAAAATAAACATGTATTACCTAAATAAACAATAGAAGACAATAAAATAATGTATTTTTGTTTCAGTAAAATAAATTCTGAGAAAATTAAAAATGAAATGAAATTCTTCAATATTAATAAATAAAAATCAGTCATTGCAACAAATTTGGATTATTAGTGTCAGTCATATTACACTAATATTGATAATTTAATAATGGTAAATTATGGTGCAAAAATATTAGTTTTTCGCCGTTATCTGGAAGCAATCTATTCCTTTTTTTCTCATAAACTATTCCAGCTTTGGAAAAGAGACGTTCACTATATACGCTGTTCGCAGGAATACACAAATATTTTTCTGCTAATTTAGATAAAATTGGCAGTATTTTTCTGTTGTCATGCCACCATAAAAATGGCGATTCAATCCGCTCTATCAATTTCATGGATAAATAAGTATCAATTTCACAGGACTTAGTATTACTCTCGGTATTACTACTATTCCTATTAGAAATTGCATTCCCACATGCAGAAGTTGATGCATCACTTGCGTTTGCTATTTCGGAAAAGCATGTCCAAATGGTCTCTTTTCTTCTGAATGTAGTCAATGATTCATCATCAATATCGTTATTGCTCTCGCTATTATTCAAATCATCACTTTCCAATATTTCGTGTTCCTGTGAAATTTCTTGCATCTTATGATAAATTTCAATTTTAATCTTAGACGACATGTCGTTATCGAAAAACGCTGTTTTAAAACGAGGATCAAGGAAAGTTGCATGTGTATAATTTATATTTAATAATATATTATTAAAACGATTATTAACATTTTGTATTAATGAATCTTTCATCGTACCCACGCCAAAAAATGAAATTTCTTTTAAAAGATATTTCTTGAGAGAAGCTACAATAGGAATAACTTCAGATATGATTGATTCAGAGGAACTAATTTCTTTGGTTATCTCTTCAAAGGGCTGTAATAGTTTTAAACAATTTTCTAATAGTGACCACTGATGTGATGATAGGTTGACTATAGCTTCAGTTTCTATAGTAAAAATACTAATAGCCCTTTTTAATTCAAATAACCTTTGCAACATATAAAATGTCGAATTCCATCGTGTCTGCACGTCTTGGACTAGTTTCAATGTTGGCATATTCAGTTCTCTTTGTATTGCTTTCAACTTATAGCAAGCTGCTGGTGAGTGATTAAAATGGGTCACAATTTTGCGACTTACAGCTATTAAATCATTGACGGTGCGTTGTGACTTTAAAGCCTCAGTCACAACTAATTGAAGCGTATGAATGAAGCATGATTCATTCTGGATATCTAAATTTTTGGTAGCTTTTTTAATATTTGCGCCACTATCTCTGATTATTATATAATTTTTATCATTTAAATGCCATTCTTCTATCATCTCTGTGATTATTTTCGCTATATTTTCCCCTGTATGGCTGCCCGGAAAATGTTTTACGTTTAATGCTGCATGCTTCAATTGAAAATCTTCATTTATGTAATGAATAGTAAAGCTTATATAACTCTCATTAGAAATATTACAAGTCCATATATCAGAAGTGAAGGCACAATTGCTTATATTCTCAATATCTTTTAAAATTTTAATTCTACATTTCTCATAAATATCTGGTATCACAGTTTCAGAAAAATATGTTTTAAATGGAATCTTATAACGTGGTTCAGCACATTCCATTAACTTTTGAAAACCTGCGAAGTTATAAACTTATAGGTATATCTACCTAACTATAAATAAATTGTAAATCATTATTAAATAAATTGTATTATTAAGTCTTACCAATATCTGTTACAATTGAAAATGGTTGATTGTCTAGTGCAATCATTTCTCCAATTGCCTTGTGCAGATTTAGTGATTTCTTATCATTTATATTCCACTTTTGAGTTTTTACGTAATCTGCAATATTTGATTGTTTTTTATTTTCTGCAGACTGACTTTGAAAATTTTCATTGTATTCTGTTATGTGTTTGTTTTGCAAATGCTTGATCATTGCCGATGTAGTAGCACGTTTTCCAATACCACCCCGTGATATTGGAATTTTACATAGTAAACATATTGCTTTTGTATTGTCATCACTATGTATTTCAAAGAAGTCCCAGATTTTGCTTCTTTTATTCATATTGCACAGTTTTTTTGAGACTACTTATTTTGAGGTTACAAACTAGAAACAACATAACATGTGAGTGAACAGTTGAATATTATAAACTATAATCTTATACGGAACTGTAATGATTTAACAGTTCCGCGTTAGATGGCTCTTTCGTCACTATTCGGCCGCCGAATATTCGGTATTCGGTCATGTAACATCACCGAATATTCGATATTCGGTTTTTTCAAAAATCAGTATTTGTTTCATCTCTACAAATAACTCACAAAAATAAAAAAGTTTTTTTTATCAAAATCTGTTTGGAATAGTGACACAGATCACCTTCTCACTTTCCTCTGTAATATATAGGTGCAATAAGTATGTTTCTACAATAAATCTACCACGTATTTCACGCATTAAAAAAGTGCGCGCGCGCGCGTGTGTGTGTTTGTGTGTGTGTAGCTCAAATTATTTCTATTTTTTTAAATAAAAATCTTGTAGATAATCTTGAACTGTTTATATAAAACATTGTTATTTTAATTTATTTAATATTATATTGTAGTACCGCGGAAAATTATCGAGAGTTGTAAAAAAATCTAACACTTTTGCAATATTAGCCTTTGTATTAGTTGTATCACGATTGAGTCTCATTTATTCAAAACTATTGTGAATCAACACGTTTTTATGTTGTATAAACGAGATTCCTAAGAAACGGGAACAATTTTCCCGCATAGAAGGACGATTTTTCCGCACAGAGAATGTCATCCAGGAACAATGCTGGACGATTATCGATCTTCACGAAACGCAAGACACTGGACAGTCGACAGCGGAGTCAATCGCAGATGCTGCCCCGTCCATTAAATGCCGTCTTATATCACGCAGGCGATATATAGGTCGCGCACGTGCAGCGGCACACGTTCTACGAATTTTCCGAGGCTCATCGAGTCGAAAACCAGATGACGAAGTCATCCGCGATGTTTCATATCATCCGCCTACGCGAAGATACATCAAATTCTCTACGGGATATTTTGAATATTTTACTTACAAACTTTTCGAATGATTCGAGATTTGGTAATTATCAAAGCATGTAACAAAGCGAGTTTGAACATTATCTTTAACATGAATCATAACGGATATGTCAGATTTATCAAGTCTCAAAGATCTATCAAAGATTTTAGCTATTAATTTTTAAAAATTTTATTTTAAATTACATTTCATTTTTTTAATTACAATAGCTGTAAATTTTTAATCTATAAACTTAAAATTGAACGAGTTTTCAGAGAGATTGAGTTTCAGAGCTGCAAACATTTCTCATTTAATCTCAAGTGAATTTTACTTCAACAGATTCCCAATATTACAGGATTTGTTTTATATATGCAGCAAAATGCTTAAAATATTTAACATCGAAACTTGCGAACAAATGACTTTTTTCCTCGATATGCTTACTACTGAAAATTCAATGAAAACATCTGTATAAAGTGACTTGTGTGTATAGCGAAACGCGTTTCATGCATTTGAATTCTTTCAGAATAAACAGTCATGATCCTTAGCCAACTATTCTCGTTTAATAGATGAAAGACAGGCATGCGATATATATGTACTTAATATTACTTGAAAAAATATTCAAGACGATGAATTGACTCACCCTTGAACGAATTTCGGACGAGAGTCATGCTCATATTCGCGCGAGCCGGTGCCTTAAGGGTTATGTCCGGCGGCACCTCTTCCTCCTCTTCTTCTTCCTCCTCCTCCTCCAGCTCCGACTCCTCGACGTCGCGGCCAGGTTCCGTTCTCCGGCTGGGGAGCGTCAGCACGATCTTCGTTTCACGACGACGAGTTCGTTGTCCATTGACGTTCTAAGGCACAGCAGCATATCATTATCGCTGCAATTTCTCTTTCTTCTCTCGCGTGTACTTTCAACTGCCACTGCCCTCACGATCACCTCGTCGTGACATGCGCATGCGGATATCTAACGTTATCACTCCCTTATCCGTTATCACTCGGCTATCTATCCGCCCTTCGATTCTGTGATTTTAACGCGGCTCGAAACGTGAATCGGGACGAACCGCTCATTTCATAGTTGCGATGTGACTACGCGCGCGAGACGCCGATGGCGATGACATTGGGCGACACGATGCCAACCTGATCGACGACGCACTGTTGGACGATGATGTGCGACCAACAACACCGGCAGTCGACATTAAAAGCACGCGCTTCGCGCGAAACACAGAGTAACCACGCGTCGTCTCTTACAGAGAGCTTTAGGCTACAGTCGTTTCCACTTATGTAGACGAGATCACGTTATCCTGTTATTATGATAGAAGGGCTAACATGTGGACGACGTAGGCACGGACGTAGTGAAGAAAGTAGCGACTGTCAAAGAGGAAATAAACGCGCAACAGGACGGAAAATTTCGATTTCAAGCGCCGGTGATCCGTCCTTTTCACACGTTCGGAAATTCGGAAATTCACACAATCGGCGCGATGCGATGTAACACGCGAGATGCAACAAACAATAGGCGGCAATTACTTGCGCCTAATTCTTCCTTGTCGATTTTAGATGAGTGTTGCAACATCTTTCAGAAGACTCGCAAATTTTCAAAATATCTGTTCCAATCATTTTTGGTTATAGTATCGCAGCGATTCTTCTTGTCTTCCTCGCAGCTCGCCGTTGTGATGGCCGTGATTGTGCTCGTTGTCGATACGGTGGACGGTTGAAATGCGGTGACGACGGCCAACTACACTTTGTAAATAATCATTGCACTCGCGCGCGCGTATATCTCGGGAGATCGTGCGGACGCGTGCAACGCCGAAAAGTGCGGGGGAAGGAGCGAGAAACAAACACAGAAAGAGAGAGAAACAGAGAGAGAGAGAGAGAGAGAGAGAAAGAAAGAGAGGAGAGAAGAGGGAGAGGCAACTCGGATGCTGCAGGATATATTCACAGGAATATCGCGCACAAGAATGCACGCTCTTTTTCCTTACACTTCTTGTAAAGTCACTTTTTCTTTCTTCTCCTTCTCCATCTCCTACTCTTCCACCGCCTCCTTCTTCCTCCCTTTATTCATCCACTACCACCTTTAGCCTTTCGATTAAAAGCCCGATCTTCGCATCGCACATCACAGATGCAGAAGAAAACGAAAAAAAAGCACTTTCGATCGCGATCTCGGTAATGAGAGATGGACAATGACGGCGGCGGGTGACTACGCGCGCGAGGGAGATCAGAGAAAATGGGAGAGGGACAAGACACGACGGATACGAGACGGTCAGCGTGAAGGAACGAGAGACGGGAAAAGCGAAAGAGAATGAGGTTAGCGGATGTGTCAGGGCATAGTAAAGAGACAGTGCAGGGACAATGACAAAGCAGAAGACGGTTCGATGCGTTACTAGCAGCCCTCGCGCCGAGTAGAGAAGCTAGAAGCACCGGTAAAACACACGAGTCCCTAACTAACACACACGAAGACAGATCGGGAACTGCTTTGGAGTTTACTATAGGATGGGACTGAGATGGTGATGGCGGCCGTGCAGCAGCCAGCCACCGCCCCCATGCTTCTTCTCTCTTTCCCACCACCTCTATCTGCCTCTCTCGTTCTCACTCCTGCGAGCCCGCGTCGTTACCGCAGCCGCGCGCTTGCCGTGTATCTCCCCTCCATTTTGTGTCGAACCTCCCTCTCCGATATCGAGATCAGTCTCTCCCCTCCGTTGGTATACGACACGCTAGAATTCCCCTTTGCTCCTCTTACT